CGCGCTAGGGTCACCTTTTTCCTTAGCACTTCGGACGGCGCGGATTTGCCCTCCGCACTTATGTCGGCGCGGATAAGGGCTTCGCGGTTTTGTCGGTGAACCCCCCATTGCTACTGTCTGGTTGTGAGCAGGGTTCACGTTGCGAGCCAACATGAGGCTACACGGGCAGAATGTTGCAAGTCTGGAAATACATTGCTCCCCCTCACCTTTACAGGAGGTCCTCAACTTACAACCATTCACTTAATGACCGTTTGAAGTTACAACAGCATGAAAAAAAGGACCGTATTTTTCGGAGTATAAGGCGCACCAAGATTTTGAAGAGGCAAATTTAAACAAAAAGTTTTTGCTAAAACGGGCCAGCTTTATGTCAAAAAAGGGCATGCATAGCCTTTAGGAGGCTTGTAGAGTGCTCCTGGGGTTAGGGTTAGGGTCCATTACTATTAACCAGTGAAACGCCTTCAGAAAACTGTGGTTGTTTCATCACTGGAGGCTTTTAAAAAGAAATTGGACAGCCATTTGTCTGAAATGGTATATAGGGTTTCCTGCCTGAGCAGAGGGTTGGACTAGAAGACCTCCAAGGTGCCTTCCAACTCGGTTAAATCACCAGGAATGGCAGTATTGCAGTCCAAGGTCTGGGGCAGGGATAAAATTCAGCAGGTTCTGACAGGTTCTGGAGAACCGGTAGCGGAAATTTTGAGCAGTTCAGAGAACCGGCAAATACCACCTCTGGCTGGACCCAGAGTGGGGAGGGAATGGAGATTTTGCAATATCCTTCCCCCTGGAGTGGGGAGGGAATGGGCATTTTGCAGTATCCTTCCCCTGCCATGCCCACCAAGCCACACCCAGAGAACCGGTAGTAAAAAATTTGGAATTTCACCACAGTCTGGTGGAAGGAGGGGGCAGGCATCCACGTGAGCCTAAAAAGCTTTAAATGCAACTCATAAGTGCCTTAAGAGAGCTGGCACCAAATGACACGTTTAATGCCAACAATGAGGAAAATAATTATATGCATGCTACAGTAGCAGTAATGTCAACTGTATAGAATTATTCCAGGGTAAAATTAGATGAATCATAACATGGCTTTGTTCTGAACCTGCCATTCCTTTAGTTAAGGTAATAATAATAATAAAAAATTGAGTTGAGCTTGGCCTCTTGTGGATGGACATGCCTATGTATTTTTCTTGGGAGAAACACAGGAGTTGTTTACTGCAGCTGGACTTGCAACAGTTCATTTAGCAACCGTTCAAAGTTACAACATCACTGGAAAAGTGACTTGGGACTCAGCAGCCATTGCAGCATCCCCATGGTTATGTAATCAAAATTCAGAGGCATGGCAACTGGCATGTATTTATGGTGGTTGCAGTGTCCCGGGGTCGTGGGATCCCCTTTTGTGACAAGCAAAGACAACGGGGAAGCCAGATTCACGTAACAACCGTGTCACTAACTGAACAACTGCAGGGATTCACTTAATACCCGATGAAAGAAACGTCCTTCTGGGTTCGGCTCCAAGTGGGGGGAAAGACACTGGAGACATGGAGGCTGCTCAGAAAGTTGATTTATTGGTGGACAGGACACCATTGCTTGAGTCCTGAACAGAAAAGGTGAATCACATGCTTCAATGTTGGTGGAGAAGAAGAGAAGGAAGGACTGAGATGCTGAAAGGCCCTGGTTTTATGCTCTCTCTGGCCTTTGATCTTGATCTTGTATTCTGATTGGTTGTCAGACTCCCATGGGGCCATGCAGGGGCAACTCTCTAGGCTGCATTCTGAATCCAGGTTTGGTTGAGTTCTCAGATGCCATGTGGGGAGTTGGGTAAAGGCCCAATATTATCATGCCTTAATCCCATCCCCTGGAGCTGAAGGGGAGAGCTCTTTATTATGTAAAGTGGACTGGCTTGGCCTTCTTAATGGCCCATTGACAGTGGGTGGGGGCAGGAAGCTACAGGGAGCTATTCTCTCTTAAAACATGTTTCTTCCTTTTCACATCCAGGGAAATATTCTGCCTTTTCAATATTTCCTAGGATGTTTCAGTT